CATCCCCTTTCTCTTCCCACACTCCCAGAGCTGGCAGGTGGGACTGCAAGTGCAAATGACTCTTCTTGCCAACATGCGAGACCCTAAAGGAGTAGCCTCTGCAGAAGGGATGCCCTTGTCCCCTCGGGTACAGACCAGGTGCAAGAAGGGAATGGATAATGGAAAGAGCAGGGAACAGCACACCAAGGTCCTGCCCTCACTGCTCTTACCCTGGTACCAGATAGATCCGGCATTCTTAGCCTCAAGGCCCCACTCCATACCCTTTCTGAATTTAGACTCTAGCTCAGCAATTCTCAATGAGGAAGGTGGTTTGGAGCTTGAAAATCACTGATCTAAAGAATGGGATTGGAAATCCGAGATGGATGGTTGCTATCCACAGTTTGTGTGTTTTGTGCTGAGAGTGTTGCAGCAGCGATAAGCAAATATGTACTCCTTGAGACGTTAATGTCCAAACTGCAGGTAAATTTTCTTGGCATTTTGCAAATGACTCCTATTACAGATTACAGGTGAGATCTGTGGCTGCTGTAACTTATGCCCCCTTACGGCAAGACAGCCATTAAAAGACATAGTCTTCAAGCAGTCTAGCACTACCAGGCAAGCTACAATCTCTGCTGTGCAAGTGTGTATTTCTGTAGATTAGTGGCAAAAACTACTAAATCCAACTGCTGCTTAATAGAGGGCAGAGATTAATCCGCTCAGAACTAGTTACCCATTTCATTGTTCTGGGCACAGTCTCTACCTGTATCATTGCATACCAGTTGGCCAGACTCATTGAAGCAAAAGTCCCTCCCTTCCTTTTCATTGTTTAATTTTTGCCATGAATTTTGATTAAATCAACCCTATGCATATCGCAGGCTGTCTTAATGTATGTTTATGCATCTAAAGAGCTCTGGGTGAAAGCATCCACAGCCTCTGGAAGCATCTCCTGCCACGAGGACATAACTCCATATGGTCCCTCTGCTTACCAGAAAGAAATGAAGCACTATCATCCATCCCCACCCTCCATCCGGTGGTTCTGTGGCTTGGTACTCTTTTTTCTTCTGTGTTGATGTTGGCTGCCTTTCTATCCCTGTTCCTTTCCTTTCTCCTGTAAATGAGAATTTGAGGAAATAATCACACCTCACCTTACTGAACAGGCTTCCTAGTTTAAACACTCCGGGTTCACTTTGATCTACTACAAAAACACAATCTAACCCTGCTGCCTTCTTCACCAGTCTCCACCACTGTTAACTTGAGAAACAGTATTGTGTCCTGGATCTCAAGTATTTTTCTGGCACCGGAAATCATTATTTGTTTAGGAAGAGGGGTTGAGACTTGCACAGATCACGTGGTCTGTAGCAGATCTGGCACTGGAATTTAAGTCTTCTGTCTCCTGCCACAGCCAACCCCTCAACAAAGACATCTACTTGCATTTTAAGGTCTGTCATATGTTGTGCATATATACAAATGCATTCAGCTTCTACCAGGTACAGAGAGCCTGTTTCACCAATTATAGCTCTACCCATCTCAGTGCTTCTATAAACCTCTTTCTCCCTCTCTCCTTGTATCTGTGAGGGAAGCAGTAAGACTGGGAGCTGAAATAGTTCATGTGTTATAACCTGAAGCTTTTCTCTTACCGTCTGGATGATTCATGATGCAAAATCCTGCAAAACTAAGTAGTTCACAAAGAAAAGAATCTCTCATTTGCTGTTGGGCTTAGAATCCTTCTGGGTTAGTTCCTTTTTGAGTCTGTTCTGTAACTTGTCTCTAGCCGCTGTAATGAATACAGGGCTCATTCTTCCAGAAGGAGCTGCGAGGCAGAGCTAGTAAAAAAGATCAAGATGCCTGAAGCACGGGGACCTTTTAGACTTAACCGTTACCCCGCCCTGCGGGCAGTAATTTGATTCCTTGGCTACTTTCAGATCTTTCAGGCCCACCCCTTCCCTGGGGCTGTGGGATAGGAGTGGGGAACTAGTGGTTTTTTTTTTTTTGTTTGTTTGTTTTTTGCTAAAAGCATGCCCTGATTGGAGGAAGTTTTGAATACTTAGAAATGCTGGTGAAAACTGCAAGGAATGGTTTGGGACTGGGCATGAGGTCTTGCTTGTTAGTCACTACACTCACTAGTGGATGGCATCAGTGGGTTGAGGCCAGCTTTCAATTTGAAGAAGAATCTTAATGTGTAGATGTCCAGCATTTTTTGGCAGACAAGGTTCTTTGGGTAAATGTGATATCTTTTATTAGACCAACTAAATAGTTAGAAAAATTGTTCTTTGCAAGGTTTCGAGTACAAACATCCTTCAGGCAGAGGGAGAGTCTCAGTAAAATTTCTGTTACTATTTGGTAGCCAATTTTACTGTGAAATAGCAAGGTAAGGTCGGCTGGGGTGGTGGTATAGCACTGATCTTGTCTAGTTAGTGTGGTCAAAACTAGAAGGGCACTGTCTCTGCTACCATTTTACAGCAGCAGTAGCTAATTGTGTATTAACCTGCTGTGTGTTTTTTCACTGAGCATTTTTAGTTGCAGTGAAAACAACAGCTTGAGAGCTGGATCTTATTCTACCCATTACATGGCCAAGTCTGATCCTATTCTACTCTGCTTAAGTCCCTGAAAAATAATTAATGCAAATGTGTGTGGATCATGCTTCTGCTCACTGCTTTTTTAAATTTAGTTTTAAAGCAATGGTCTGTTAACAAAAATGGGCATATTAACTTTTTTTTTCAGTGACTTGGGCAGGGTGGAATAGGTTCAGACTTAGGCATGTAATAGATGGAATAAGATTTGGCCTGAAGTGTCTGAAGATGGAATAGATTGATGCTGCAAACAGTGGATGGGAACACCATGAACTGGCATGGCAGTGATTAATTAACAATGGAGATGGACCTGGCTTTGCCTGCAACCCTAGAATGTATTGCAGCTGATCTCATGTCACTCTGAGGGAAGTGCCATGAAATTTTTGTACAGTGATTTGTAGGGCTGTGCAGCTGTAGAGGCTTCTAGTGCAAGCAGCTCAGTAATTCTGGCTTGGAAGAGTAGAAACAAAAGAGCAAATGTGGAAGGCCCTCATTGTATAAGACTTGCCCAGGCTCTGTTGTGCGTAGCCTGCCTTATTCCTCCAGGCATCTAGTCATCCCTCTGTGTATAGATTGTGCGCCCACCCTTCTGTTTTCATTGGAAGTCCCAGCCATAGAGTCTATCCAGTCTTGGATTTGGTAAGCAAGCTCAGCTGTACTGCTCTTGTTAAAACTTAAATCATGCATATACCACAACTCTTACTCAGATAAGAAACAACTGGAGAAAGGGGTGGTCAATTTAAGAACAAGCCTAAAGGAAAACAATAAGTACGCTGTGAAAAGCTGTCATCTGCACTAAGATGATTGCTGTAAAAATGGTAGGGCTACTGTAGCATGAGGGAATTGGTAGTGAGAATACAGCTATACATCGTATCCATTGATTGTTTGAAGCAAAATGCACAAGCCGTTTTAGGAGTGTCCTCATGAGTTGCATAGGCAGATGAGGTTCTTTGTGCCTGAAAGCTTGAACAATTTTTCCAACTATTTAGTTGATTTAACAAAAGATATCGCATCTACCCAAAGGCCCTTCTTCGGGCATAAGGAGAGTTTGTCGGTGTGTGTGCGTGCTCCCCTGGGTGGAATAGAAGCCAACATACAAAATGCATCTTCATTTTCACAGACCTGCATTTTGCATATTGGCTTCTCTTCTACCCAGGAGAGTGGACACACACCAACAAACTCACCTTGTGTCTGAAGAACAGCGTTCGTGCTCAAAAGCTTGCAAAGAACAATTTTTCCAACTACTCGGTCTAATAAAAGATATTGCATTGACCCAAAGAACTTTGTCTGCCTGTTCTTAAATCAACATGGCTACAACCAACACTCCTCATGAGTTACAAACTTTCTTTTGATCATTTGTCTCTGGTCCTATGACTTTTTTTTTTTTAATTCTTCTCAGCACAATGGCCAATAAAAAAGAACTGCATTGTACTTCCACACTTTGTTACACTTTATCTCCCATTGATAAAATGGACTGACACTTCTGTAACTTTGTTCTTTTATAGTTTAAATAAGAAAAATCTTCACCAAAAATGTTAAGATTAGTGTTAAGTCTTTGAAACCTCACTGGTACCTAACAGCTCTGATTTGTTTGTTGGTCTGATACAGGAAACCAGACTTTAATACAAAAGTTAGCAATTGCTGTGCTGTTAGGCTAAGGTGACTCTGGCCCTATCTCAGATTTAACTGATTCACTGGCAACCATGTAGACACTATAACCTATTGTCTAGAGAATAGGATTGGAGGTGAAAGGCAGCCTGGTATTCAGTTTTGTTTGGGGCTGCAGCATCAAGTCTCTTCCCCTCTTTGATAAACTTAGATACAATCCAAAACCCTAGTAACTCCCTACCTGGGAAGTTTCAGTTAATGCTTCTGAAGTGCCTTAAAATCTTTGACCCCAAGGGTTCATAGCAGTGAAAAGTACATACGTAGCAGTCACTTAGACACTTGGGAATATACCAGTGAAAATTTGTGGAACCTATAATCTTTCAGGTTTCAAAGGGGTGAAATGCAGGTTTCTTATGGATTCAGTCCATGCAGATCTGGCCCCTGGTGACTATGAATTAATATAATACTCTGAAACCTGACAGTGGCTTTCATTTCTACTCAGAAGTTGGGAGGGGCATGATGCTCAGAGCTATACAGAGAGAAGGCAGCAGTGGCATTTAGTCACAGTTAACACTATATTGCATGCACCAATTTTAACAGAAACTTCTGAAATAAAGTATCAGAGATGCTTTTTAGGTTAGTCCTCTTTAAGAATCATTATAACTATTAGTCCCAGCTCTAATAGTTGCACCCTCTTCTTGATAAAAGTTGGGGGAGGCAGGGGTGTAATGTTTATTCAAGGTGATGTTAGCTGTCTTGTTCCCCTGATACCGAGCAGTCAATAGTGAAGATGAATTAAAGAATCCTTTCTAATACTGATTTTAAAAGATGAAGCATTGAGGCTTGTACTTCCAGCTTTTTATTGAGTCACTTTCAGGTCAAATATGGTCTCATGTCCAACTTTCAATGTGCTTTCACTGTACACAAGATAAGCTTCTATCTACATTTGAACAGCAAAGGAAAGGCTTTTTACAACAACTCTTCTCCTGAAGAAGTTTTCAGCATAGGGTTGAGGACTAGAACCTGAGTGCAACTTCACATGCAATCAGTTATGTCTGACAGGTCTGTTTCCAGTCCAAACAGTAATGCAATAGCTAGAAACTTTAACTTTAGTTAAACTTTAATCCAAGATGTTTCCAATACAACAACGCTGTCTGCTTTTAACCAGACGAGATTAAAGGTTTCCTCTAAGGAACTTGAAGAATGGAGCATGTGCTCTTTTGACTTCGGTGTCAAAAGGCAGCCTGAATGAGTCTGATTCCCCCTCCCTCCTGAGGTACAGAAAACAGGACTTATCTTCCCAAACAGCTGAGGGACTGCCAAGAAGCAGGAAGTAACCTTCCTTGAAAGGAAGGGATTGTGACTCTAACATTTTAGAGAAAGACAAGAGTTTGATATTGGTGTACTTCCACTTCAACTACCAACTGAAGTGTTGAACCCACTGCATGTGCTCTCACTCACTGGAGAAATGAATAAATGATGTAAGGCCACACACTATATATTTTGATTACAAAAGCAAAACAAGTGAAACCTCATTTTACACTTGACAGTACATGTCCTGTAATATGCTGGCAATTTAAAGATGCTGACCGATATACAGTAGCAGTCTGAACACACAGGAAAGTTACCAAGCATTTAATAGTTGGCCCACGTGTAGTTTTACAAGCACGTTCTGTGTTACAGAGGGAGGTAGGAGTCCAACAAGCAGAAGGTGTTGCAAGGGTGTCGAAACAACCAAGCAGACTGGTGAAAGGTCAAGATGCCAGTTTGTGCACTGCTACAGTGATGCCATCATGCTTCTTGATCATGATATTCCTGAAACAGCAAATTTAAACAGTTACAACTTTCCAAGACTAGTAGCTCATCTCAAAACCAGTGCTAGAAATGCCTTTAGGTTTAGCATATGCCATGGCTTGTCAGAGGCAGTGTTACATATAGGATCTAATCAAAGAGAAATAATTGGCTTGCCATGTTTACTACTTATTACATAGTTGTAGGATACATAGGATTTCCAGGAGTCTCCTTGCAATTCAAAATTTGGAAGCACTTTGGAGTGTTTAGGTGGGCTGTGAAGGCAAATCTCTGTCTACCTAACTTCCCTTGTAAAAGTTGGTTATAAACAGGAACATTAAGGACCACAGCACTGCTTCAGTAGTCATAAATTTGATGCAAAAGTGACACTAGCTGATCATTCTAACCACAGATGCCTGGTTTCAAGAGCCAGCAGTATATTTAGAAACATGAATGGGGGGGTTCATCTCAAAATGAACATCATCTGAGACTGCAAGAGACCCATGTGTCCTAACAATCCCTGGATGCTCATTTGAAACCCCCTCTCCCATTCCTAATAAACAATCCATGGATAAACTCAAGGGAGAGGAACAGGCTCTGGATGTTCCCTTCCCACGGGCCCTGCAGGAGGTGCCTCTTGCCCCATACCTCCTTACAAGCGGTGACACACAAAACTTAGAAGTCACCTGGAGATGAAGGAGGCAGTTCTAAGATCCCGGTTTGAGAAGTGTTAGAGCAAACCAAGATGAGAAAAAACACAGCAACAAGAATGGAAACCCAGACACTCACCCGTGATCCGATTCCAGACACACCACAGGAATATCAGTGGGGTCTGAAGTTAACTTGGCTGCCTGCTGGGCCAGAACCGAGATCACCCCTGCATGTTCATCAGAAAGGGTCCCACGACCTGCAGGGCACGAGAGAAATCTATCCAAATTCACCAAAACATGCTTCTTGACAGCAATCATCACACCTGCTTCATACTTCCGCCAAATGTCTTCCCTAACTCGACCATCTTCCACAATAGCTCAAGGATGCCTAAAACGTTCTCAGACTTGCTTAAAGAAGTGCTGGCCAACGTGCCTGCACTTCCCCACCCCCACCTGAGTTGGGGCTGAAGATGCTTGTGCTTTACAGGGCCACATTTCCTAGCAGACGCAGGTGCTCGGGCTAGAAACAGAGGATGCCAAACCGCAATTCAGCAGGGCCACGACGCGCACGGGCGACTTGCGTCCCTGGGCAAAGTGCGCGCGGCCCCGTGTCCTGCCCCTGGCGCTGTGGACCCCTGGCTGCCCCGGCCTGCGCCGTGAGTCTCGGGCGCCGGGGACAGCCGCTTCCTGGCGGGGCTGATGCTGGCTCTGGATCGGGGTTTCCCTACCCTGCGCGGGGCTGGCGGCCCGGACAAGCACCCTGCCCCCCGGCACGAGCCCGGGGCGGCGCCACAAGGGATCAGACGCCTTGTAGAGGCGGGGGGTGGCGCTACTCACAGCCCAGGTTCAGCCCTTGCGAGTCCGTGCACAGCACGCCCACGACGGACGGGTTCTTCATCCTGCGGGGCAAAGCCACAGCTCGGTCACTCGCCCGGCCCCGACCCAACTCCCCTCGGCCCCAGCCCAGGCCCCGGACGCACGTGTCCTCCAGGTGCTGCTCCAAAGCCCCCTCCATAGCGCCGCGGGCTCGCCCACTTCCGCCCCACTCAGCCGCCACCCGTCACGTGATAAGCACCGGAGCTGCCGGACGGGTGCTGCGGAGGCTCAAGATTTCCCGAAACGCGAAAGGTGCGGTGGGCGGGGTGGACTAGCCATGCTGCTGGAGCTGAGGCTGGAGCGTGGGAAATGCACCCAGCGGACGTGCAGTGAGGCCAGTGAGGGGTGAATTGAAAGGTGCATTCAGTCCAGAGAGCTGCACCTTCCCTCCAGGACTGGGGGCGCGGGGTTGGCGTGCTGGGGGCAGGGAGCGGCTGACCCCGCTCTGAGGAAGAGGAGCCCAGAAGCTCCGAGCGGCCCAGCGCCCGGCTGCCTCTATCCAGGGGCGAGGCCTAAGGCGCCAACTCCGTGGATGCTCTGGGGCAAAAGCACCCACTGACAAATATGAGCAGGTGCTCAGCACCCAAGAGCCCCAGCCATTTATTTCCTGCTTGCCCATGTTAAAAAGGACCCCAAAACCCCCACACTTTACTGAAAGAGGTAGCATATTACTTCAACCCGGCTCTGCAGTGTCAGTAAAGATTGGGCACTTCAGCAGGGCTTTCTGACATTTTTAGGTAAAGCCAATTCAGTCAGCTATTAGATTAAAAAAGGGCCAAAAAAGCCCCACTCAAGTGCCGGATCTTCATAGATGTTGCAGAGCCGGGCTGAAGTAATGCTGTGCTGCCTCTTCTGGGCTCAGCGCAAGAACGTGCCGAGTTTGAAGTTTAGTGCCGCTTTGTTTTGTTATGGCTGCAAGCATCCACCGGCAAAAACCAAACTTGGCACTTATGCAGGGCCATCAAACTGCGCCCAGGCTGTGGCGTTGATTCACAGCTGAATCGGAGCCATGACTCCTCACTTCTTTGAGTCCTTGTTCTGCATCCTAGGATAAGCCGCTGAACTGCACTGGGGAGGCAGGGGATTGTGTTAGATGACAGGAAGTTTTCTTTATCCTGGTCACCACTTTGCACCAGGGAATATCGCGTGAGTGCTTTGCTTTCCTCTGCAGCAGTGACTCTGAACACTTGCTTGGCCCTGGAAAAGCAACCGCCATTGTCTAAGCTGCCAGTGCCACCTTTACATCCCCACCTAACTCCCCTTTAGATCCCATGTAAGTCGTCTCCCCAGGACACGGCGGCAATTTGGTACTGTCACTAGCTTTTAATTAGCTGTGAGACAGAGGAATAGGCACAGTACAGAAGGGACGTGGCTGTGGCCCTTCCTGTATTCCCCACTGGAGGGCACTAAATCCACTTCCTGCACCAGCACGTGTATCATTTGCACAATATCCTCAGCTGGCATGGAGGCAATCATATCCTGCGCACAGCCCAGCCTGACTTTCAGCCCAAACACCAGTGCTCCTGTGGCTGGAAGTGTGCACCCAGAGAAATCCAGTCCATGAAGACCTGTCCAAGCACAGCAGGCTGGCAATGGGCAGCACCAACACAAGCATGTCCAAGCTAAGACCAGTTTCCATGCCATGCGCAAATTCATGGCTGCTCCAGAAGGGAGTAGCGCATGTGTGCTGGTTGCAGGGCAAGCCATCTAAGGCTTCAGCCAGCCAGAAGTAGCTCAGGAATGACTGGACTCTGAGCTGTCTCAGCAGGAAGAGATGAGATGAGGGATGTGCCTTCTGAGTCTCTCTCCCCACCCCTACCAATCCTCTGTTATCCTACATACTGCATCATCACTCAGTGACACTGCTGTAAGGCGGGCGTAAAATGCTGCAAGGTCATGTTTTACGTTTGCTGGCGTTGATGACGCGAGTTATATGATGATGGTGAATCAGATCCAGAATCTATAGAGCTGGGCTTGGGCGCTCTATTGCATTACATCCTTCGTGCTGCCATAGCTTTACATAGCTGCTGGGGAAGTTGCCAGCATAACTGTCACCTAAGAGGTGTGATCATTTCACGCTCCCTACACAACATGGCTTTGAATAGCTGCAGTGCTAAGCAGACCTGAAGCTGTACAGGTGTCGATCTGAACTGAGACCCTTGCTGCTTGTTGTCCTGCTAATAATGCATATGTGAAGGCTTGGAATGAGGTGTGTTACCCCTCCTCCCCCCAAACAGGTTAGCATGAAAAAACTCATGCATGATGAATTGCCATGACTTGTTAGGTCTCCTGAGCATGGACATGGACATGGACATGGACACACACACACACACACACACACTTTTCAAAAGCCTTTTGGTGGGTGACTAAATCAATCATATTCAAGGTTATTAGGTTGGTGCTGTTGCTTGTGCTTAAAGAGGCTTCAGCTCCTGAAAGATGCAGATGGGCCACAAGGGCTTCCTGGAATCCTACCCTATAACTCAGGGGCGGGCAATTATTTTGGGCAGAGGGCTGCTTACTGAGTTTCGACAAGCCATCAAGGGCCGCATGACAGCCCAGGGCAGATTAACATTAATTTTCTAAATTTTTTAGGGGCCCCGTGGGTCGGATAGAATGGCCTGGTGGGCCGCATCTGGCCCCCGGGCCGCATTTTGCCCACTCCTGCTGTAACTCCTACTCGCCCAGCACAGTATCTCGCTCCATGTGAAGCCTGTTCAAATTGAGGGGCTACATCCCTCCCTGCACTGCTTCAAGTGCCCACATCTGGAAGGCCATTCAGGGTATGTCTACGCTTGAGTCAAGGGGTGACTGCAGCTTACATACGTACATGAGCAGATGTGTATTTGTCTATATATATATAGACACATACACATCTGCTCATATGTATATATGTATATGTATATATACACGCGTGCGCACACACACACACACACACACATATACATATATATACACACAGTACACACACACACATATCTGAACTAGCTTTTACCTAGCTGGTCAGGATGATGCTAACAGGTTACTCACAGCAGTGACAGCTGAGATTCATTCAGGATCCTGGGTAAATACTCAGGCAACTAGTCTCTGCTGAGCTCCATGCTGCTGAGGCCGCACTGTTTTCATCACCCGAGGCAGCTAACTCACCCCCTTTATGCTGACTTATTAGTGCACAAAACTAATGCAGGCCTGCTGATTTTAGTGATTCGTTGAGGGGATTGTGCATCCGAACGCTTGGGTTCTCCTCCTTGTTCTAGAACAGGGTGTGTTGGGTCATAAGAGCAAGTTATTTCTGCCCTGTGCTTTCCCCATCTGTAAAGTGAGGATAATGACGGCAATCTCTTTTGTAAAATGCTTTGAAATCTATGGGAGGAAAGTCTCCTGCGAGAGCAAGGGATCTTTATTATTATGACTGGCTCTAGGCTCAGAGCTTATTCCAGGCTCTGCTGCTGATTTACCATGTGGCATCACATCTGCTGTTTTACCCCTCCATGCCTCAGTTTTCCCCCAGCTCTGAAAGAGACATGGCTAATTGACCTTGTAAAGTGCTTTGAGATTAATGGACAACAGGCAGAGACCTGGCTGCGATCTGCATCTTCCTACATAGATGACAGGCACACCACAGCACAGTGAGGTTTGGTCTCCTCTCGCAGCAGGTAATTGGTTACAAGCATTGAAGGATGTGGGGGGAGAGGCAGGACATGAAGTGTTTGATTCCCCGTTTGGCCAAGAAACGAGGGACTTGAAGCCAAAGACAGGAGTGATATGGTCAAAGCCAGTGTGGCCTGGATTTGGGCAACATCTTATTACTCAGACCCTGGGCCCAGCAGAGAGCTCCCAGTGTTTTGAAAGGGATACTACCCTCTCCCTTGGTGAGATGAAAGATGTGACATTTCAGCACCCTTCTTCCACACCCCCTGCACAGCCCCAGCTGGTCAGTCCCAGATTCCCCATGTAACAATTTGAATTGCATGTCAGGTCCTGTATATTAAATCAAATGGCACATCAATTCTGGGGCATCAGCATTCGCTCCCTGATGAGAAAGTCAGGAGCAGAGAGACTGATGTCCCTCTTGATATTTCGCACTGCCAGTAGGGAGGCGAGCTGAGTATAATCCCATCTGTCAGAGCCGCACAGGGCCTGATTGGGAGGCAGAGTGAATTACTTGGAGAGAGGGAAGTTTGTCATTCTGTGGATGCGGAGATATGAAACTGAGACTAAGGTCCTCCATCACTCCAGAGAGCTGCAACAGGGCACATGGCACGCCAGACCACACAGAATGGGTCCCTGAGCCCCCAGGATCCCTCGGTGCACATTCTTGTACACAGCAAGGACTCGCTGCACACACATACTCCATCATCACCTCACAGACCTACACACCTGTGCACAACAGGTGCTCATACCCCATACACAATGCACACGTGCACAAACCCACACACACAAACACTCTCTGTTCTCATCTCACAGACACACACCGGCACACAACAGGGGCTTACACTCCATATACAGTACACACACGTGAGCATGCTCCAGCCTCACTTCACAGATGCACACACCTGCACATGACAGGCACCCACATTCCACACACACACACACATTATCCTCACCTCACAAGTGCACATACTTGCATACAACAGGTGCCCTCATTCCTTACACAACACACTCACGTGCATACACACACACACACACACACACACACACACACTCCATCCTTACCTTGCAGGCACGCACACTTGCACACAACATGCACTCACATGCCATACACGACACAAACACACACACACTCCATCCTCATCTCACAGACACACACGTCTGCACACGACAGGTGCTAACACTGCATACGCCACACACCTCATCCTGCCCACCCATAGATGTGCACCCATCTACATGTTGCAGGCATTCACTGCGTACACAAGCACTCCATCCTGACCACAAAGACGCACGCATTACAGGCATGAACTCTGTGGGTTTTGCCTTCTCCAAGTATGGGCCATGCTGCTTTTCCTAGACTCTCACAAGTGTGTATCTGTGTAGTGGCAGGACATTGCAACCTCACACATTATTACTAGGCACCGTACACAAAGGGCCAAGAACGCCAGAGGTAAAAGCAGGTTAAGGCAAGGGTGTAGCTAAAGTGATTTTGGAGATTCCTTGGGTTAAAGAGTCCCTGCAAATGCAGGGGCATGGATTCAGTGGCCTAGGAGACC